GCAATTTAATAAAATAAAATGTGTGTGTGTGTGTATGTTAAGAGTTCAGACTGAACAGCAATACTGACTGTCATACTTTTAAGGTGACTGTATTCTAATCTAGGCAGCTGTAACGTAGTGGAAGTGGCCTTGTACAAGTCCCGCCTTCTTTTCTGTAATGTCCTGTTTGTAGGAATGAGAGGGCGGAAACTCACCTCTAACAGTTCCCTCCCAGTTCTAAATGAAAGCCCATTGTGGAATGCACACATTCTCTTACATGCGTATACTCACACACCCTCACTCTCCCCTCACGCATGTTCATCAAGTCCTCTCTCCTTCCTGTTTTTCACAAGTTCATGCCTTTTTACTGATGCTAGTGTTGTCGCAGACTGGAAGGAGTTCAAGCTTCCCAGGAATCCCTTGTTTAGGATTCCTAACTGAAGCTGAGAAGAGAGACTTAAAATCTCCCAACACATGTTTGTTATGAAGATCGAGCTGGCCATGCTTTGGAGCTTATTTCCTAGGTGTAGCTGACGTTGGGGGGTTGGAAATTTGCTTGGCATGAGGTGAAAGGGGGGTGGAAGAGGAAACCCCATTCAAACACAGATCACCCAGCACTCTGATGCGCTGAGCCGAGAGTTTTCTCTAGTCCTTGGGGAGAACTAGTTTCGCAGTCTTCTTCTGATGGAACTCAGCAGGATAAACATTCGCAGGAGTCCCAAAAACTGCTGAAACACTTTCAGAAGATTTGGTTTAATTATGGAATCACTGAGGGAATCTATACTTCATTTAACATTTCAGATGTCAACATACAAACGGGCCACACTGGATGAAGAGGAGCTGTTGGACACCGGCTCCGATGGGATCTACCACACCTCTACCATGCAGGTGAGAGTTCATTTTTTAAAACTATTTTTATAACTTATATTTTTTGATGTATGTGTACTGAAATATGAGCCAATCCACTGAGCTAGCGATCATTTTTTAAAACGAAACTCTTCCAAAACAACAACTCTTTTGTGATTCCAGTGGAAGACAAGGACACTGTCTTAAGTTACTTCCCTGTGGTTTTCTTTTCAAACATCCACTGTGTTTTAGCACTGTTGTATACAACTCTTTCCTCATTCTGTTGAAGCTTTTTTCAAACATTTTCAACAGTTGTGTGAATGCACTTGACATTCCTGATTACTTCTAATAAAGTACTACTTTACTACTGCTAGCTTTTTTATTTGTTAGATCCTAGTGAGATATGAAGCACAAGTAGAGCAATGTGCATAAACATTAAGAAATTATAAATTGCACTTGACCCAATAAGGCTTAATATTTGTTTATTGTTTACTTAATGAACATGTGATTAGAAAGGAAGAATTGTTTAGTGTGTACATAAAAAAATGTACATTAACTGTGTAGTTTATAGTTTGATGATTTTTACTGCTGTTGTTACCGTAAGGAACTACTACTTCCTGATCTGAACCTTTGTTGTTGTAGTCTAATGTAGTCTGGTTGATTCAGTCATATCAAAGAATAAATATGACTTGAGTAAAACCAGTTCATTTAGATATAACCACATGACATATTTTTAGTTTCTTTCAAAGTTTCTTTAAAAAAGTCTTTCTGTTTCTATTTTTAATCAAAAATGACATTATTCTTTGATATCTGCTTTTTTTCTCGCTTCACATTGGTGTCCATTCTTTCATTTTTATTTAATTTAATTTAATTATTTTATTTTTTGCTAGTGAGAACCAGACGTGCATTATCCTTTAACCGCTCCTAAAATATTTTCTCTGGATCACTGGGGTTATTAAATGTTATGGGTGCCTTTGTTGAAACCATCTCATGGTCTTTGTTCTCCCTCTGCTCTCTTTGACTCTTGAGAGACTTGGCATTAGGGCTCATTGAAGCCACGCAACACATACAAACACAGTTACACCTCATGCATCCAAACTAAGCTGAGTAATTGCACAGCTGGGCAGCTGGCCACTAAAAGTGACTTTTGAACTCTGTGGGCTCAGTAGAACTTAATCTAATTTGTATTACAGAGATCATTTATTTAGTTTCTCTTGCACCTCTTCTGTGAAGAGGTGATCAATTATGAAATTCACAAGGCTTATTTGATCAGTACAGAATCTAAATCAAAAGTGAATCAATAAGAGGAAAAGTTTAAAGCTCAGAGTTCATTTGGAGTGAGCCGTTATCATCTTTTTATTTTTTATTTTTATTTTTATTTTTATTTTAATAACAAAAAAAAATCTTACTGACCTCAGACTTTTGAATGTGTATGTGGATATAATGTGGATAGCCAGATAATTTAGCACAAGAGGTATTTGCATAGGAGGTATCTAATTTTGAATGTTTCTTATCCAACAGTTTGAATAGCAAAGTGTTTGGCAGAACAGACTTTGCAGTGTTTCCTAGAAGAGAGCCTTCCTAGAAAGTAGGAAGTTGATCAATGTGTTGTTGTGGGTTAGTTTCTCTCCTATAAGTATTTAATACTTAACCTAATGCAGATAACTCTTAAAGGAATACATGAAGTATTCAGTAAAAATCTTTTTTATTATTTGAGATCATATTTTCAGTCCTCATTTGAGGTGGGAATGTGATCTGTACTTTGAACTGGAGCAGAAAGACAATGATGTTTGGTCCCACCAAAGTTTAATATTGTTGTTAGACACGATCATATATCATTTTCCCATGCAATATTATATAAAACCTGAAATAAAACCTGCACAATGTTATACAAAATGTCACAGATATCACTTTCATTAAGAAACACAAAATAAACATCGCACCCTCGAGGATCAGTCCTTTGCCAAAGATCACTCCTTTGGAGTAAGTTTCAGTGTCATTTGCGTTATCTATGTAACAGTGCTCATTTTCAGGGATAGTTATTTAAATCCTAACCCTTTATTTTCTGATAACTTTGATTATCAGGTGGGGCTGCAGCGTGGTCTGGGTCTCCGGTGCTGGGCAGAGAAAACACATGTTGAGAGAAAGCTAGTGGTCGTCGTGTGCGCTCTGTCCGTGGCCCTGTTCATATGCATCATGACTTTGGGTCTGCACTATAAAGAATGTGAGTTGATGGAACAGTGTATAAAGATGTTATTTTTTTAAGCTAAGACTGTATATGCTCTGGACCTCATTTTACTCACTTGCCCAACCATGACAAATCGCTGTATGAAAGAACAACAACTTTCTGTCACACTGTTTACCTCCAGTTTCCTCAGCCTCCCTCAGGCCTCTAGTTTTCTTGGCATTATCTTTTCAGATCAGGAGCTAGGGATACATCTTTTGGGCCAAATATTTTTCTTAGAAGAGCTTACAGTGAATCTATTGCAGCCGCATTCTCTCTGCATCCACAAGCTGAATAAAAACAGTGCCCTTTAACTCCAATTATTTCCAATATTAAACTTAATACTTACATAACCTCATTCAGTGGAATCATGCCCAACCTCAAAACCTGGAGGCCAAAGTAAACACAAAGAAGTGTGTGCCTATAAAGTTTTCGTAACATGTCTGAGAACATCTTTTCACAAATTAAAGTATTATATTGGTGGTTGCAAATGGCTAATGTTGCTATACAGACACAAACATTTGCCATATCAGCTTGCATATCACCCAGTTATGCTAATGACTATACTTAATGACTTTTAATGGTTTCGACAATTAGTTTTGGTATTCGATAAAGGGAAAACACAATCTCTTGGGTTTAATAATTGTAGGCTCCACAGGTCACTGCTAGAGACTCTCTTTGTGGCCTCTTCATTTGATCAGGATACTGAATAAATACAATCCTTTTCTCGGAATTCAAATTTTGGCATCAACCCTTTATAAGTGAATAGTTCCAGATGGCTTCATGTCCTGGGATCCTCCTCAAAGAGATGTTCAGAGCATATTTATGATGTGCAGCTTGAATGCATTATGAGGTACAGCACTGAAAGTGTAGCGCACCAAAATCCCGTTTATGATTACCCTAGTGTAAAACACGCTGAGTAAAAGAGACATCAGGAAGACTTTCTTAATGGTTTTGGCTGCTATTTGTGATATAAAGGCATATTGTAATGGATGCAGCAGTATATTTATATACATATATTGGTTTTGACAGCACATCCGGGAATGTGCCTGTCAGAGCCTTGTGTTAGTGTGGCAAGTACAGTCTTGTGGGCTCTCGATCGGTCAGTGGACCCCTGCCAGGATTTCTACAACTTTGCGTGCGGGGGTTGGATGAGGAAAAACCCACTGCCTGAAGGCAAGT